TGAGGGCACCTCCAGCGACCCGAATAAGAAAAAACCTGATTTTTTTGGCAATTTAACCATGAAAATATTCGAAGGGCTTGAGCGCCATGTTCCCGTTGGAATTACGGCTGCGGACAGTTTTTTCCGTAATCTTCATGCAATTTAGCCACCTTTTTTCCCTATCTGGATTGTATTGCGCTCAAGTCGGGAATTTCGATCACCCCTAGAGGTGAGTCAAGCCGCCCCTTTAATACAGAATATAAATTAAACATTAATGGCATTCGACAAATTTTTTGTCTTAAATTTTTATGTGCCACCTTAGATGTCAGCCTAATGGCCTTCCGCCACACTCTGAACACAAGTTCCACTGGCAATCATGCCAAAACCGATGCCAGAGTTAAACATACACCTTCCAACAAAGCTGAAACTGATCGGATTAGGTATGCCAAACAATTCATTGACATTATTCCGGCAGTGCCATCACATTACTGTAGAGAAAACGTATAAAAGCCCTATCTGCCATCAGATATTGGAAACATTACCAATTTGTATAGGTTGTATAAATTAAATTGTATCAAAAATTATAGTCTACCTATTTTAGGTAGGGTTTTCCGCAACGTTTTTAGTCAATTTAATTTAGGATGTCATGTACCCAAAAAAGACAAGTGTGAAAAATGTACTAGAGTGTCAGATTTAGGTGAGGAAAATATTAAAAGAGCAGAAATGGCTACGTATAGACTCCAGTGGAGTGAGGTCACTATTTACATATATCATTTGATCTTCAAAAAGTCCTCAGCACTCCCCATGGGATAACATGCTACTGGGATTTTCAAGGAAAGTTTCTGTTTACAATTTACAGTGTATGAGTGTAAAACTTTAGACAGTTTTTGCTTCCTTTGGAATGAGACCGAAGGTAAAAAGGGGGCAAATGAAATTTGCTAGCCTTGTTCCGATATTCAACAGATCTAGATGCTAGGGGCATAGAAAATCTCATAATGTACTGTGATAATTGCACTGGATAAATCAAGAATCAGTTCTTAATTTTTATGATTCACCATTTTTTGTTGAAAGCTAGGTTTTTAAAAAGAATTCATCTGAATTTTCTTATTCTAGGCCACACATATATTCCTGAAGATAGTATTCATGCCACGATTGAAAATTTTGTTAGAAAGAAAGTAATTTATGCCCCCTTTAAATGGCTCACTACAATATCGCTCAGTCGTAAATCTAAACTTCCATACCGTACAACATCCTTCACCTTCGTTGATTTTCAAGACTGGACTGAAACGGAAAAATCTTATAAAATGACTTGTGTAGAAAATAGAAAACAAAATTTAAATATTTCAAAGGTAAGCTCCATTGTTTTCACAAAAAATCAACCCATTTCTGTTTATTACGGTTATAAAAACCCTACAAGTGAATCTTTTCTCATTGAGTCGAAACTTGGTAGTATTCCTTTTCAGCCAAAACAGGCCTATAGTGAAAGGTTACCTATTAGTACATCGAAACGTAAAGACCTCATGAAATTAGTACAAAAAAAAAAGAATAATACCAGAAGCATATGCACCTGAGTACAAGAAAATGCTGTATGGAAAAAATGTTATTGACACCCTTCCGGAAACGGATGAAAAAGATGTGGATGAGCCAGAATCCAGGAAATTATACAGTTCCTAATTAATCGATTCAATGCATCCAATGGGTCAGTTGTGCTGGTCACAAACTTGTGTTGATGCTTGATTCATGCAGAATAGCTAGCAATAATAAGTTGTGTCCAAACAGCAATTTTCTACGATCAATACTGACCGAGATATCGCCATTTGAAAAGTCGAGTTTTCGACGTCATCCACCACGGTGTTGACACTTTTGGTTTCTTCCACCTTGCTTTCATCAGTCAGTATGACGCACATTTGCACTGGTTACCAAACATGAAACTCTGATGAAAGCAAGGTGGAAGAAACCAAGGGTGCCACCACTGTGGTGGATGACGTCAAAGACCCGACTTTTCAAAGGGCGATATCTCGGTTAATATTAAATGTAGAAACTTGCGGTTTGGACAGATTTATTAACTTTAGCTAATCTACAAGAATTGAGCATTAAAACACGATTCTGTGACCAATGCATCTGACCTATTAATATTATATCTTATAAGATATTGTACCAAATTTGTTAAGGATGTTTTTTGATCCTTTCTTAACTGTAATGTTTTATATGTACCTGTTTGTATGTAGATCCGATGCTCCTATGAGGAATTAAAGGCTTTTCTGATGGATGCTTCTTAATTTCTTTCTTACCTCTGGTAAGAACACAGCCTGGATCACTACAGTGAACAAACATTAATAATCATTAAAAGAACTATGATTAGTATCATATTTTGTAATTCCTATTTGTTGATTACAAATGATGCTTTTGTTGGAATTTGTATTATTTTTCTGAGAGTTTCTATTTTCTTTATTAATCCTTTCTCTGTTGGAAACCTCGTGGGTAGAGCGCCACAAGTCAACTGTGATAAAAATGTCAAAATGCTCACCTCTCTCTGTTGTTTTTATAACTATAACTATGTGTTACCTGTAATCGATTCATTAAAAAAGGGTGTCCTATGAAATTGTTCCTAGCTCTGAAAATCAATAACAGCGCATTTTTGGAAACGTGCAGTCATGTTTATATGTTGATGCGATGCTCTTATGAGGAATCAAGGGCTTTTTTGATGAATGCTTCTTAATCCTGTCTTACCTCTGATTTTTTTATAAGTACAGTGAATAAACGATAATACTCATGAAAATAATTATAATTAGTTTTGTGTTTTTTAATCCATTTTGGTTGGTTACAAATGATGCTTTTGTTGGAGTTTTTATTATTACTCTGAGAGTTTTTATCTTCTTATATGGATCACATTATGCAAATAGGAACCAGCACAATTACAGGGTTGTAAAAATGTTGCTTCCTTATAAATATTTAAGCAATCTCCCAGAACATCAAGTAGCTTTGGCTTCCGATGTAAAAATTGTTAATTTTAAGAGAAGATAATTGTGTAAATTTTAATACTGTACTTACATTAAGTATTTTTAAGAGAGAAGGAGAAGTTGCATGGTTTTTAAAACAGTGTAACAGCGTTGGTTATTTTTTGCTAAATGCAATCCATATGTTAATCCTTTCTGTGTTGTTTTAATAATCATGACTATGTGTTACTTGTAATCAATTCATTCAAAATGTTTGGTTACTTATTTCTCCTTTCTGTCGGAAGATATTATTTGAAGTGACTGCCCGTAGAAAGGCGTATTATAAAACTGTCATTGCTTTTTTGATGGATACTTTTAGATCTTTTCTTACCTGTACTGTTTTATTTTGTCACCTTCCGGTGAAAGTATCACAAGCGCCATCCAACGTTTAAAAATTTCCGCTGCCATTTTATTTTCTTACAGAGAAATTGTTTAACGAAGTTGACCGAAAATTTCGCTCGATGCTACCGCTTAAGTTCAGTGAAATTTTCAAACAGATTCAACCAAGAATTTCTCTTTAAAAAAATAAAATGGAGGCAGATATTTTTAAATGTCGTATGGCGCTTGTGATACTTCGGCCGGAAGGTGACGAATGTACCCGTGATCGATTCATTCAAAATGGTTGATATTTTTTACTTATTTCATCCTCCAGTCTGAAGGTATTATTTGAAGAGATAGCCTGTGGAAGGGCGTATTATAAAATTTTTAAAGTTATTTAATGATAAACTAAAATTATTTATTCGAACTATAAATATCTATTTTTATCTACAACTGAACTGAAGTATACAGTAACAATAACTTCGTATAGTGCATTTTATCTTCAGTTCCTTATTGTGTTCAATCTTTTTTTCTAAATCTTAGAGGAATAATTTTTATTTGTTGATTTTTGCACCTGTATATTTATAATTTTTGCTGCATAAAATGCAATCTGCCTTGTGATACTGTTTATGGCTGTTAATTAAATCATACGCTCTTCTTTGTACACCTAATAATAAATGCATTTTTGTACAACTATAGTATGTGAAGTTTTTAGTTTTACTGCAAGCCCTCCTTTGCCTTCTGTACTCTTCTAACTTTCAAAGGTCTTAATTATTTGATTGAAACAAGAAATGGAGAAGAAGAAAACCATTTTCGATCTATTTTCTTTGAAATGTGAGATATTTGGAGAGCTAGGCGCAAGTTCAGATTTTGAAAAAAAAAAAAAAATAATAAAATAAATAATAAACCAAAAGAAATGAAAAGGTTTAAAGATAGCTGTATTGGATGCTCTAATGAAGCTAGTCGCAGTGTGACACTTTTTACAGTTGAACATCAAAGCATCATTTTTAAGCTGCATAATTTCTGGTCAAAATTCATTTCAACCATTTGGTGCCATGAAATTTAGAAATTCAGACTCATTTTTCTCAAACGAATAAACTGCTTCTTTGTACTCTGACTTCCAAGGATCAATAACTAGAATCCAAGGATCCTTAGAAAACTTGAGTCCCTTTATTTCAGTGGAAGAACACTTTGAGAATACGAACACGCTAGAATATGGGTGGAAAATTAGCATTAAGTGCGTTTTTCCATAAAATATTGAAACTGTTTTAAGATGCCTCCCGCAAATCCCCTGATTTTGAAAGATGATTAGCTGGTCTCTAATTTTTTGGCAGCACATACTAAAGTGAATGTAATTTGCTATGCTGCTCTTATAACCCCGGATCTTTCGGTTCATTTAATGTATTGCCGAAGCGCCCTTTTACAGGTCAGGTGGGACCTTTTTGGAAATAGGTCCGGAAAAGAGGACCAACATTTCTCGTTTCACGCCAATTTTCATGAAGTTTGATGTGTTGAAATTTTTTTAAATCGCATTTATAATTCCGGATCTCTTGGCTCATTTAATGTATTGCTGAGTCGCCCTTTTGGAGCTCGCTGGGCCCTTTTTGAAAGAAGGTCCGGGAACAGCACTCGTGACGATTAGTGCCTTAAATGGTAGGCGATAAGGCAACGCTGCATGAGGCCCCTCAACAATAACACAACCTTACTTTTTCATGTTGCTACTCGCTCTCGCTCTGTGCATTTGTCCAGTTTATCAATTTACGATCCGAGTCTTTTCTTTTCTTTCGACCTTATTCAGCCATACCTATTATCGTGAAAATTATTCAGAATAAATACAAGAAGGTCGCTGGATAATGCAAATTTATTTTTATTTAATGTCTTAAAGTTTACAAGCTCATTCATGTGGTGATCTATAGCAACGAAGCATCACCATGGCTAGTAATCGGTTTGAGAAGATTGGAACTATTTATTCTAGGTAACAATACTTTTATCATCACTTTGTCTTATTAATGCAAATTCACTTTCTCTAAGGGTTTGACTGAAATAGAATTAATATTAGATCTTCATGAAGGGGCGTTTCTGAGGCAAGTGTACAGTGGCGTGGTGCATTTTGATACGTTGAACATGTATTGAACCTGTACCCGTACACCTTACAATATCTCTTGCAGCACCTATTAAACAAGGTTAAAATTGAAGGTTATTTCTATACTGTGTGAGGACTTTCTAATCGGTATCTTCAAATTTTTAAATTCAGTCTACAGTAGTCTCCTTTTAATTTCTTATACTTAATTCAAAATTTGATTAGTCTAGCATTGCCAACAAATCTCATTCTTTTTGCCGCTTTTAGCTCTGTTGATCAGGAGATTGTACTAATTAGATCAACAAGATTAGATCACCAGCTGATATTGCTCTGGAGATGCCATCAGCGCTCTTACAAATAAAATGTTTAACCCGTATCTCAGGGTCTTTCTTCCATCTTTTCCAAATGTGAGGTCGCACTTTTGTGACTAAGTATTGAATTTTTCTCTCCGTTACAAGACCTAAATTCTTTCTTATGCTGATCGGTTACACTTTCATTTGAAAAACTTTGTCACCACCTAATTACAAACTACTTAAAACCTAATTGAAGTAATCTTTACATTGAATTCACTAGTGCTGTCCACCTCATTTTTCCTACGCTCTCCCAGGACAGTCTTGAACCTTCTTTTTTTTCATTATCGTTCTCCCAAGCATCATTATGAAATCATCTCTCTTTTAAGTCAACTCTTGAACTCTGCTATAGTGCCAAAAATTCTCTATTATTAAAGTTCAGTTTAATTTGTTAACATAGTGAGGCATTTGTTTTACTTGTGAAATTTTCTCATCCTTTGCAGAATAACTGGTTTACTTCGAGCAGGAGCCACCAAATGGGAAAACAAACCACTCTGGTATAATGTTTATCGTGCTTTTCCTCCACTAAATGAAACTTCCTTTGGATCACCTGTTCCCGACACACCAATCAGGAATATATTTTATGCTGAAGACAAACTTAGAGCGTAAGTTTCATCAAAAATGCAAGAAGTTTCTGAGGATCAGCGTGGCTTTATAAAATGGAGCTTATTTCTCTCAAACTTTTCTGAGTGACAACTTTTTTTCCTGTCTCTCTACACCATGGTAACGTGACTTGGTCTCTCATTTTTCACATGTTTGCGGCCGTGTGTCATGAATGGTCTCAGTCAGAGAGTTTCTGCACCTCCGAATTCCATTTCCCTTAATCTGAGTCATACTTTGGTTCCTTAAAAAGGCAGGTTTTTTCTCTGAAGAATATTTTCCAGTGCTAAAGCCTGATCAGAATGTTTCCACCCTCCCTCCATTGAAGCCTTTAGTTATTGAGCGTTTAATCTTACTTACCCCTCTCATTATCAGGCTATTTTCTGTACATGTATGCTCCACAATAGAAACTGTCATGCAAACAAGTTTGTATTCTATTGAGAAGTAATCAAAGTTGTAGTTCAGATCCTCCTCGATGGAAAGAGCTGCAATTAGCATTCACTCAAAGGAGGTCATGGAATATTTATGGAAATGTTACCAAGGATATGATTTCACAAACTGAGGTGATTTGTTCAAGGTAATGAGAGGTTTAAGGTAGATTTGAGCAAACAATTATGAATTTATTTAATCTCCTTGATTTTTTCTTTAGTATTCTAAATTGATTCATACTTTACCCTCCTCAAAGGTAAAAATTCCCTCAATTTTTAGTTGGACTGACGTACAGTTTCAGGGGTACTCCAAAGTCTTGATGAAGAATCAACACTAATGATAACTCTATCTTTATCCTCCAGGAAATTTCACAAGGATTACAGAATGCTAAGTGCTGTTCGGTTAGATGACCGCTCCACTCCGAGTGAATGTCAAACGTTCATCCAAGAGTACAAAACGCTTGTAGAAGAGAAAGGCAAAGCAGAAAAGGATGCCTACAGTGAAGCTTTTAGTCCATTCCAGAAAAAATTAAAGGCTGAGATGAAGAAACAGCACCCTCCTGAGACAGAAGAAGTAGGCTTCGACTCAGAGGAGTCCCCAAGGTCTGAAGCCGCACCCCAAGAAACGCTGTCTGAGAAAGATGCAAAAGAACTTTATACAGATATTTTCAAGAAGTAGTGATTTTTGTTATCATTAGACCAGAAGTTTGTAATGCTGGAAATCTCATAATTTCTAGTTTCAATGGTTTGTTTTGTTTTATATTTTATTTCTAAGCACAGTAACAGGGCTAATTTTAAGTGACCGTTAAAGTAGACAAAAATTAAGATAAATGAATAAATAAAAATGAAATTTTTTCCTACCAACAGCAATTATCTCAGTCCAATGGAATCATCGCCCCGTCAAATTAAGTGACACTGGAGAATAACTTCTATGATCATATTTGCTGGACCATCTATCAGCTCTGCACAGTACCATACAACAACCTAAGGCTTCATCTACGTTTGCTAACTTGCCCCAAACTTTATTCAAAACAGTTCAAGTAACTGAATGCAGCCAGCTCAACAAATAATATTCTCCCAAATGATTTTGCAAAAGTAATGAGTCATGAGCAAGGTTATCCTTGGACTCAACATGAGTTCACCCTGAGTTTACTAAAAAGAGAATTTCCAGATCACAGAAAATAGGTTGAATGAAATGATGCTATCTATTTTTCAGTGTAAGCCAGTTCGTATAAAAATATTGTCAGAAATATCACCTGAAAGTAACACAATATTGTTGTCATGCCTAATAAAAATCAATGGAAAATGTTGTAGCATTATAGGTAACCCCAAACTCTGCCATGTTACTAATGAGAGCAATAATGTTCACATTTTCGATATCAAGTTTCCTTCAAAATTTGTCTAACTCAAATTAGATGAACTCACCAATTCAAATTAAACAGCAGAAAAGCTGTTGAAAAGCCCAAAAATTGACTTCATTTTATGGGAAATAGCAGTACGGGACATTATTTCACCAGAGAGCTCTACTAGAGGTAGAATGGTGCCCTTTTGGCTTGCCAGTTTCTAATCCTAAAATTGTTTTGTTGTGTTTCCAAAACGCAAACAGAAAAGCATGCAGATTTATGGCACTTATGACTGTCTTGCCTAACATGAAAATGAGAATGGCCCTTTCTATTACATAGTTGGAAATAAAGTTTGTTGTATTTTAATCATCCATACGATTTCTGAGTGTTTTCTGGATAATCAGTGGCAATTTTACAAGAACTGCTGCTTCTGTCGTTAAAAGTTTCCGCTCAATCGCTAATGAGCACACTTTCTCAAAACTTTATTTTTGCACTCTGTTGCTCTATTCGGTGACACAGTAAACATGTTACTAACAATAAACTCAACTTGAAGTTGGAAATTAGGAGTGAATAAAACCAGAATAACTTGAATAAATATGATTTTATTGTTAACAAAAGTACAAAAACATTGTTCTCTTAGTCATGGATGTAAAAAAAACGGAAAATTACATTATACATATGAAATTGTGATTTTACATTTTTTTTTGGTTTCCAATTTATGCATTCTCTTATTGAATTATGTTGTGCATGGATGACACTAGAATGAACAATTCGAGAATAATGAAGAACAAGTAAAACAAATTTTATAGTCTAGCCTAAATTAGCTAAAAAATTGAAAATTAAGGAGATTTATTACAGAAATATTTCTTTGTTAAGTTCAACAACCATTTATGACTGTCCACAGGAAAGGGAACTTCAGTCCAAGAACACAAACAATTAGGTTATAGATATCAGAGCCTAGAGAGGAGTTCGACAAACGGTTTAGGACAAAAAACGCCCCAAAAAGTTGCACTGAATCGTGGCAATGGCAAATTGAAGTTTTCAGTTCAAAAACAAGTATGTAGTTTCAACAAAAATCTATTACAAATCATAATTATAATTTTTCATGTTCAGAATGTGAAAACGATGGAATACAACAGAACTTTACATCCTCTATTGCTACAAAAATGAATTGAACCACTCACAATTTATGCTTTGGAACACTGGAGAAAGTTCCCAGTTGAAATCTTAAAATCCTGTTTTTCTGCAGAAGAAAAAAAAGGAGATGGTAATTGTTTCCAAATGTTTTTCAGCATTATGTAGGAGGGTATAATGTGGCTTCAATATTTTGACAAAATCCGAGATTCGAAGTAAGGAAAATGAACTGTAACATCTGTCGATTTGGCGTAATTCTTTACAATATATGATTTTAAACACTTCTTAAAGTATGAATTTTCCCATTAACTGCACCATTTTCGAGAAAATCGATGATAAGAATGACCTTTAACCACATACGTCATCAACAATATCCAAGATGCTCAAAATGCAACCACCTCCTTTTTTTCTCTTTGCCAGTTTTCCACCCATAACTCCACAGATATTGCTATAGGTACTGAAAATTTTGCCTCTGAGGTCAAAAGTTCTGTTTCCTGCAGATTTTCAAATTTAAGTACATACATCAGCAGTGTGTCATCTTCAAAGAAATGGAATGAAAACAATTTAGCTTGCGAATGATTTTCACCAATTATTTAGAATCAAAGTCAATATTAAGAGAATACTGAGTGAATAATTTGGTTTATACTTCATGTGAACGTGCAAACATCAGAAATACCTGAACAATTTTGAATGGAAGTTGCAATCCAGAATCGGATCAATAGACCATCAGACAGGCTTTGAAAATAAGGACCTCAGTCATCAATTATAAAGATTCAACTTACACCTTTTTAAGATCTCGAATTTAGTTGATGATGAAATTCTAATAGTCAGTCATTTTAACTTGAGCTGTTTGAGACCTTTCTAAGTTTTAAATGATACATTTTTTATCGGTTTATTTTCCAAAGGCCGGTGGTTGAGGTTAAACTTGATATCTAATCATGACAAAAGATTTGCTATTGATACAAATATGCAGTGCAGAAAGTACGAGCGTGATGCATAATTGGAATATAGGGTGATGCTCCGAATTAGAAAATACAATATTAATTTATTTTAAGATATATCAACTCTGAAAAAATTTAAAAAGAAATTGAATATAAAATTTCATGAGATTACCATTTGAAATTTCATATTCTCTTTCCTTACACTTTTTGTACTATTAAAGCTGTAGGGTTATCATTGAGCCACAACTTATTATTGACAGTCCTCATTCCATACTACAAAAATCTCTTCATTATCTTGTTATGTTTGAGCATTCAGTTAAGTACGTTCTGAAGGAATCATTAGCTAAGGTAGGTAATAATTAGGTCTATAATACGTATGCAATTTTTAAAGTATCTAAACTGGGTTCAAAATTTGCAAAGGTTATTTTTTTTTCATTTTTTTTAAAAAAAAAAAAAAAAAAAAAAAAAAAAAAAAAAAACCAAAGGCACAAGAGGGGAACAATAACAATTTAAGGTGCATTTGAGATCTGTGAGTAATACATATTTTCATTGGGGCTAGTTACCTTTCTGAATATTCCTAAAACTAAGTATAACGCTATAGTATAAAAAAATTCACCTGTACTTATCAAATTTTCACACGGATCTTGAAAAGCAGAGACATTTGGACTTTAAGAAGTGGAATTCTATGCTCCCAGAGCTTTACAATAAGAATCTCTACAGTTGGCAACCACAACACTTCTGACGTGTAAAATTACCCTGTGGGTGCCTGAAGGAGAGGCTTTTGAAAATGATAATGTAAAAAAGTACTGGTAGAATTTGAACATTTTCTTTTTTTTGAAGTTTCTTTCACAAAGTTCCAATGAACAGTTATGCACCGCAAAAGAGGTAGTGGACAGGGGATCTTAAAATCGAAATAAATGCCTCATGAAAGTAAGACACAGTCCTAAAAGCAGCAGATGCTACTGCAGAGAAAAATAAAATAAAATGAAGGGTAAATGAGGACTTATCAGCACCATCATAGGGGAAAAAATAAAAACAATGGTTCTGGAGCACTACATCTCATCAAACAGGGTAGAGAGATCCATACGGCAAAAGTAATAATTTGTAAATCACACTTTTACAGTGATAGGCTTCAGTTATACAACTCGATTTTATAAGGTGCACAGAACTTTTCAAAAAAACTTGCCAAGAGCTATGCATGAAATCTAAGAAATTGGACACTGGCTTTATTTTGATATCAACTGTGATGTTCTTCATGACCTCCTGATTACGATGAACTGTCAAAATAGATCTTTCTGTGTGCCATGGTCGAGAAAAGTTGAGTTGAAAAGTGAATTTTTTTGTACTCATACGTGTGTTTACTCATGAAAAAGTGGATCGGTTGCTGTATGTGAGTGGACGCTACGGCACAACGTATCATTCGGATGAACTGGATTCTTTTTGTTCATCTTATCTTCCAAGTTGGCAAGGAGATAAAAGCTCTACTTAATCATCAATCAGAAGTTGCAACATTACAAGCGAGTAATACATTTCAAAATTCTGAAAAATTAATTTTTCAGCCCCACTTTTCTTGAGTTTGGCACTTACCTGGAGAGTTCAATCTTTTAGAAGCTCATCGTACTCAGGAGGTCACAAGGAACATCAAATAAAATGATAATGAAAACTGACCAGCATCAGATTTCTCTGTATTCCGTCCTTAGTCCTTTCATATGAAGCTTATAGCTCAAGTTCCTATTTTAAAAAGAGGTTTGATACAAAATCAATAATAGTAAAACCTTGATTTACCGGTCTGACCCGTGCAGCGCCCAAGCCAAATACAGGAAAAGCCTAATGATAATTAGAAACACGAACAGCACGACCGACCAACACTGCAGTAATCATAATATACATTATGTACATGCCAACTTAAACTTGGCTTGAAGGCTTAAAGTATGCAGTGTTTCTTTGACGCTGTTTTTTCGATGTGTTTGCTAACTTTCGGCACTATCAGCGTGCTTAAATGATTGTAAAACCGGGCCAGATAATCGAAGTTTTACTGTACATTACAAAGAAGAAAAAACTATACAATGGAGAACTTAAAATAAATCACAATGAATTGGACAATATTTACCAACATCAGCCTAACTATGTCAGACATTCCTTCACTCATTCAAGTTTTATTTTTTTTACGAGAAAAACTATCCAGTTTCTGCCTTGAAATGTTTTGAGTATATCATCATATTCCAAGGAAATTGCACAGTAAGTTCCAAGCCTCAATGTTGCTTAGTTAGAATGAAACATGTGAGGAAGTTGGACAACTTTGAGGTCAGTTCGGCTGCCTCTGGTGAAATCCACCCAATGGATACGACCATTAGCACAATTTGTCAGAAATTATACTGTGCTAGAGAGTGTAGTGATCAGAGGAATTTTTTCTAGGGCATTGATGCCATTTAAAACTCATAAATTCTGTTTGAGCTTGCACAATTTCATAAACGAAATTTTCTTGATTGGCAAGAATCACATTGATGTTTCTCTTTCATCACGTCTCTCTTGAGTTAGTTTCACAACACTAAAATGCCTTTCATTTACAAAATGAGTAAAATTCAGTATAATCAGGTAATGGAATTTCTAACATCTTGAATTTTAGACTTGTTGGCATGTTGTTTAAACCCTCCATTCGGATCTGAGTCACCAACATCACCGAGTGGTACCTTCAATCGTCACCAGTCAGATGGAAACAGCAAAAAAAGAACAAAGGAAAAATTCCATGTAAGTAAACATTTACGTACTGACTGAAAGATGGAAATTTTATTATAGGAATTTTAACATTTGAGGTGTATTTAGCACTAATGATACTAATCATGAAAAAATTAATAGAAAAGGAAACTAGAAATTAACGAAATTGCAGAACAGCAATTATGCCTTGTTTGGATTAGAATTCACAGAGCATCAGAGATATTTTTGATGGTGGAGGTATGGTGCAAACCGCCAAGGGTTATGATTAGGGCCTTATACTTAGATCTCGTGTACAAACACTCGAAATTTCAAGATCTCTCTTTTAAACAGGAAACCAATTCAACAGCTCTAAAATCTATTCGAATTATCAAGCATAAAAAATTACTTAATGCCGAACTTAGGTGCAGATTTCACAATCATAAGTTTCGTTTTTCAGATCTCTTTTTATTGGGCAAACAGAGTGTATATTTTCTTAATAAAAGTAAAATATATCCTAAAGACTATTTTTCATATAAAATTACACAAGTACAGCTTCAGACTCAGATCATTTTACTCTCAGATCTCTTATTATTGGGTAACACACTTTCAGTATATCCTCCTTAGAAAGATGCCTAGAATCCGTTAAAGAGAAAACTAAATCGATAAATTCATTGAGGGCCCATGTGCCAAAATTAAAGTAGTGAGAAAACTGGGAAACTGTAACTTTTCAAAAATGTTTGTGTCCAAAGAACACCTTTCAACAAGGGTCAAGAGATTGAATGCACGCTGAGAGGCACATTTTTATCCGCCTTTCTCAAACTTGAATTTTGGTACTTGGGCACCTAAGAAAAATATCAGTTCTAAGTATTATGGATTTGAAACTAGCTCCTTTCAATTTATTGAAGTCTGCAAACACATGAAAAATTGTGTTGATTATACTGAGACTTTTAAAGTTATTTTTACAGCAGAATTTTAGAACCCTATCAGCTAGAAGAACAACAAAAAAGGATAGGATATTATTGTTAAAAGGGACTGAAGAGGAACAAAACATTGTTAAGGAAGAGTGAAAGAAGGAAACAGCCAGCTTCAGATAGGGTAAACTAGACTCAGAAAATAAGGGATTGCAAGTCTACCTGTTTCAGCCACAAGTCATAAAATTGTTTCTTGGATAAATTGCGAGGGTCAACACCCAGGAAATCTTGGTTTTCATAGAGCCACCACTTGATTTGCAACAAAGAAAAAAAGTGATACACATTATTTCAAGCAAATACTTGTTATTAAACTTAAAGAATAATGAAAGAGAAAAAGATACTTACTTATTAGGTATTCAGCCCAAAATGTTGAAATGAAAAAAAAGAAGTAATTATTTTTTAACTTAAAAGGTAAGCTACATTTGTCAGCCCCAGGCAGTGAGATCGTAAATTTAGCCCAGAAGAAAAAAGGGCAGCATAATACAGGCAGCCCAAAAGAGTAAAATGAGAAAATCCGCTACTGGTCAAACATACTGAGAACTTCAGATGTTGTAAATCGTACTTGTAATTGTAAATACTGTTAGTGAAATTTGTAAATTGTTCAAAGCCGTAGTTGTAATGTAATGGTGGTTTGTTGGTTCAGATGATGGAAGATAATTTTCTTGGAGAAAGGTGGAATCATCACCTTTGGGCCAAAGTATCACAACTGCCATCAACTTTTAGACGCTATGTTGCTGGACATCATTAATAGTTCCTTTAAAAATTTTGCACATTCTTTCACAAAAATTTTAGGGATTGATATTGATGACAAAATAAATCTTAGGTAAGATAAATTTTAAGTGATTCTGTCGATTAGTTTTTCAATAAAAAATTGGGAAAGTTTGAGAAGTTTGGCAACATAGTGCCTAGGCACAGATGGCGCTTATGATACTTTGACCGGAAGGCGACGAAATGAACATTTGTTTGCAACAATTACAAACAGCAGAAGTTTTCAAGTTTCAAGAAAAATGCATTCGAAGAGATTGAAATGCTTGTAGTTCCATGGGTATTCAACATTTCCTTACAGGTATCAAAAAAGCCCATGGGCAGCCTATGTGTTTAAAAGTGCTGAAAAAATTTCAAGTCAAGAACTTGGTTTGATTGATAGGTTAACAAAATATAAAAAATATGTTAGACGTTGTTGTTACATACAAGGAACTGGTTTGGTATTGTTTGTTCCCTCTGTATCTAAGAATTGAATAACATGGACAATCATTTTAGTACATTTTCTTCTGTTTAAAAGAATTCCTTCTCCTCTCGATCACCACTCCTACCACTTCTAAAGTTGTTGGATTTTGACAGATTTGGTGTATTTTTCTTTGTTTCTTTGCCAAAATTTTTAAGTATCATTGAATATTACACAGCTTTAGATTTTCAGTGATCTGTACATGTGTTCTCTGCAAAAACTTTGAAAGGGGCGTAACAGCCAGGGGAGAAGAAAATGCTTGAGCGCACAATCTCCTGCTGATGGGTGGCATGAGCAAATCTGTGAGCTTGTGGGGAAATAATTCAGTAGAGCAAAATTTTCATTTGTTTTTTTGAGCACAAAATGCAAGAAGAACAGAGAGGCAATTTGTGATGGTTTTCTGCCCGACACAAATGTTTGACATTTTCATGGAGTGAGAAATTTTGTGGCTAAGATTAAAAATAATCTCAGATCAAAAGAAATTTTTGCACTCAACCATCACCTTTCTTGGTTTTGCGGTTGGTCCACGAAGAAAGTTTCTGGTGAATGTGGTTTTTTTACTGTGAGGCTTATAGGTTGCATGTAACTGAACTTCCATCCAGTCTTCCCTGATATACAAAGGGTGTTCAAAAAGTTTTGCACATTTTCAGGTTTTGAGCAAACATAAGCAGCTATCAATTTGCGCTTTACAGGGTGAGCGAAAAGTCCCCGACCCCCCCTCTAACTTTTGAACGAATTGACCTAGGGAAATGAAACTTTGGGAATGTTCCTACCTCAAAGGGGACCATCTTTTGGGGGGGTCAAAATTTTGGTCCCCCCCTCAGGGGGGGACGGGGGCCCCCCAACTTTTTTTTTTCAAATAGCAACCCCTATCTTGTGATACCTCATTCGAAAGAACATAAAAAATTAAGAATTTTGGCGCAAACCGCAGATCAATATCTTAATTTTTGACCGAGTTATGATAGGTCAAAGGTCAAATTTGACCTATTTTCAAAAAATCATAACTCCGGTCCAAATTATCGTAAAGAAAAAAATAAAACGGGAAAATTTACCAAATTGTGTCCGCTTTTAAGTAAAAATTGCAAAAATTACTTCGATTTAATTTTAAGGGGGGGCTCGGACCCCCAAATACGTCAATTCAAAGGTCATTCAATTTTCCCGCGAAATAAGCCAATTTCCCCTGGATTTGCCTCCACATTGTCTCAGTAAGGTCAAAATCAGTTCAACATTACGTTGGCAAGTCCCCAAATTTCGGGAAAAGTTAAAAAAACGAAATTTAAGGTAATTAAATTTGACCGTTTAAATATCATTTTTTTTTAACTTTTCCCGAAATTTGGGGACTTGCCAACGTAATGTTGAACTGATTTTGACCTTACTGAGACAATGTGGAGGCAAATCCAGGGGAAATTGGCTTATTTCGCGGGAAAATTGAATGACCTTTGAATTGACGTATTTGGGGGTCCGAGCCCCCCCTTAAAATTAAATCGAAGTAATTTTTGCAATTTTTACTTAAAAGCGGACACAATTTGGTAAATTTTCCCGTTTTATTTTTTTCTTTACGATAATTTGAACCGGAGTTATGATTTTTTGAAAATAGGTCAAATTTGACCTTTGACCTATCATAACTCGGTCAAAAATTAAGATATTGATCTGCGGTTTGCGCCAAAATTCTTAATTTTTTATGTTCTTTCGAATGAGGTATCACAAGATAGGGGTTGCTATTTGAAAAAAAAAAGTTGGGGGGCCCCCGTCCCCCCCTGAGGGGGGGACCAAAATTTTGACCCCCCCAAAAGATGGTCCCCTTTGAGGTAGGAACATTCCCAAAGTTTCATTTCCCTAGGTCAATTCGTTCAAAAGTTAGAGGGGGGGTCGGGGACTTTTCGCTCACCCTGTATGTGTGCTTAAATTAGACATGATTACCAATAAAACAAGACCAAGAACACCTCTCTAGCTTAAAAAATGACAGAAATATAGAGTTTTGAAAATGACATGTAAATGACCGCCTACAGGATTTTTAGCTATGTTTGTCAAGGAAAGAAAGTTAAATGAGAATTGAGTGTTTTTATTGAAAAAACTTACGAAAATTGACGAACTCTAAGCTTCTTCATCGGATGACACAACTGACTCAACATTCGGCTGTTTTTTGAAGTATTTTCCACCACTTTGAACGCAAAGCTTCAGCCGCAGTTCACCTGGGGATTCATGGAGAAACACAACATTCTCGTTATCCTGCACCCCTCCTACAGTCCAGAACTGGCTCCGTGTGATTTTTTACTCTTCCCTGAGTTAAAGAAATTTCTGAAAGGCACTCAGTTTGATTCCATGGCTGAAATCAAAACCGCTGTTCAAAAATTCTTCAAAACCCTCCGTCAAGAAGACTTCAAAAAGACGATCCTTGTGAAGTGGGCAGAACTGCTGAAGTTTTGTGTTCAAAGTGGTGGAAAATACTTCGAAAAACAGCCAAATGTTGAGTCAGCTGTGTCATCTGATGAAGAAGCTTAAAGTTCGTCAATTTCCGTAAGTTTTTTCAAGAAAAACACGCAATTCTCATTTAACTTTTTTTTCTTGACAAACATAGCCAATAGCCAAAATTCCAGGAGGCGGTCTTGCTAGGTACATGTCATTTTCAAAATTCTGTATTTCTATTATTTTTAAGCTAGAGAGCTGTTCTTGGTCTCGTCTTGTCAGTAATTACGTCTACTTTAAGCACACATAAAGCGCAAATCGAAAGCTGCTTTTGTTTGCTCAAAGCCCGGAAATGTGCAAAACTTTTTGAACACCTTTTATATGGTTTGTGCAACTTCTCCATTGTACTCTTAATTTCTAAATATTGCACTGTTAAAACAAATAAGTTGCCCACTGCCACTAGGCATTTTGAGTAAAAAACCGACTTTTCAGTTTATTAACTTGTTGTTCAATAATTAGTGATCCAGACATTAAATTAATTAGTGTCTATAAACTTGCACTGTAAGTAATGTGATTGAGAAAAAAAATACTTACTTTGTAATCATCCTTAGTAATAGAGTTTGAGGGGAGTGTATCACACGTCAGTTCATGCTTTTTAACCACTTTTGTCCTTTGTACGAGGTAGTGATAAAAGTAAATGTGGTCAAGATTACCCTTCAACGAGAAGGACACAGCTAAGTTGCTGACACAAGGCACTTCCTGTAAAAATAGAAAAAAAGAGAGGCTGTGAAAAGTCCAGTTGACTAAGTTTGAACTTAACTTTGTCAGACGTAATAAATATACTCAAGGAGATATACTCTTTCTTTAGCCACTATTTCGTACATTTTATAACATCTCCTGACAATTTTCTTTAAAAAAACAAGGCATCTCCGTTAATTTACAATGGTGGCATTTCGTTTAAAATGTGATTTCACTTTTTTATGCTGGTCTTGAGATATCAACCCTCCACACAGAATTCTATGAAATCAGTGACCCAATCATTATTTTCAAAGAAATGAAGGAAAGGCAGGAAGAAAAGCAAAAATGAAAGAAAAAACTAATTAGCCGACAACTTGCAAAGCAGGGCTTCCTTCCTGAAATATTTCAAACAGCAGAGTTTATAAAAATTGAAAATTCAATTATGTAATCCTCACCTTACTGAGTAATTTCTCAAAGAGCTCCTCTAAAGTCTCTGAGTGGAATCTCGTGCAGTCGTTGTGATCAAGGGTAGACAACAGAGGTAAGTGAAGATCTGAAAATATTTTACCTGCAAAAGGAAAAATAAATACAAATAGAAATAGTAGTAATCTGGATCTTGAAGGCTTTGCAGCTTACTGATAATGTATAAATGTATAATCCTCTGATCATTCTTGTATTTGTTTGTAAAAACGTCTCAGTGGTTCTTTGCTTCGGAAAACATAAAAACCAAAATGTTGAAATTTTGAGAAAAAAATTGGGACAAAATGTTTTTATGTAAGCTACAGCATAGACTTGCGTCCATCAGAATCCAAAATTGATTCATGCCATAGAAGATTAAATAGATCATCATGCTTGCAAATTGTTTAAGACTTTGGCAGATTTTTCCTCTCAATATTCACACTTTTTATTTCGCTTGAGATCATTAATTGATATCATTCTGGGAAATAATGCATAGTTTTTTGAAGCAAAATGTTAGGTTCACATTAATGGAGGTTGTCTGAAAATATACTACTTTAGTGGTGTTGGATAGTATTCTTCTGTAATCATTATTATGACACCCGAGTCTTTTAAATGACTGCAAAAAAGTGCCAAATTGTGTTTGAGGGGAAAAATAAAAAAAAGCAGGAGGGTAAACTCACCTAGATTAACATCAATTTTCTCATTGATGTAGCCAGATAAGTGCTGACTCTCAAAAATTAATCTCAATTTTTGGACAGCTGCTTTGCTCAAAACAAATCCTGCTTCAGCCTCATTTAATAGGATTCCTTTCTCAAATGTTGTTCTTCCAAGGTAATATATCTCCTTAGGATTTAGACTAGCTAACAAATGACGCAGGTTTTCCATAATTACTAACATATCGCTGTCAATAGCAAAGAACAGCCAATCATAATTTTCTATCTTTTTAGAATGTTTTGAGAGAAGGTCGTAGAATTTTTTCCAGATTGGTACATCATGATTCTCGACAATCGAGTTAACATAGCTACTGATGTCGTTTGATGAACCGATGAAGAAATACTTATTACATGACTGAATCCATGTATTGTAGGTTTGATGGAGGCTGTCATTCTGGTAAAAAATAATACAAGCAACTTTCACTCTCTTAAAAAGGAACTGAGATTCCCTTGTAATATTTTTATTGGTAAATGCATCTACTGAGCACTGTTGCTTGAGTTTGTGACGCTTCAAGTTATTTCTGCGAAACCAATGGTTATAGCTTTGCACAGAGTCAAAAGGCTGAATTTGGTATTGTTTTTGAAGAACAGATGAATCGAGTTTGACTTTCTCATTGTTCGATAAAATGAAAAAAGCGACCAAGGCACCAAAGCAAAAGCCAGCAGTGAACACTATACATTTAGGGTTAGTCTTGAAGCATGTTGCCATCATGTTACGATAGAAATAATGATTTTGAGAGAGATAAATGTGGGAAAATCCGTAGACTTCTTCCTAAGACGTATCATTTTGGTGGCGAATGTTCCTCACGAATTTAGATCCAGATTGGACAACGAAATAAGATTCGATTGGTAGCTCATGTTGATCAAACCATTACTTTCAGAAAGCAGGATTACACGTAGGAGAAAAGGAAACAGAAAGTTGGATGCTATCATTGAAAACACCTTAGAAACAACACTATAATCCACGGATATAACGATCTTCAAAAAGTTTAGAAAAAAGTTCACTCAGGAAGTCAAAACATTGTGAGCAATAAGGTTAGGTTAGGGTTACGAAACTCTTGTTTACTTTAGCATTGCGGCAACGATGGAAAAAGAGTTATGCGGTAGTTAAAACTTATGCAGTCAGATAGCAGCACTTGTATAAAAATATGAAACAAATTAATTTTTTGTTACAGTCTGGCAACTACGTCCAACAGTTCCATTTTCGTTACGAGTTCGTTCGTTCGTTTGCGTTTGCTTTTGACCAGTTTGGCGTTTCGTTCATGTCGTTCCAGTGCATACGGACTTTTATTCGGCAGGATTAGAATTCTTGCGTGATATTGTGCTGTGCAACTTCGATCCCTTCTTTTAGTTTTTAATTTGCCGGATCATTGTTTACCGAGTGTATCCTCCGTGCGGCATAGAATGGCAACAAGTTTGAAGTGATCACTGTTCTGTTTGCTATCTCAATATTCTCGAAACGTTTTGTTCAGTGCCGTGGTTCTGTCAATCCGCGTTGACAGAATATTATCTTTGTGAAAGTTTACTTTTGATCCATCTCCGTTCTCTCTCCCAGTAACACGCGAGTTTCGGCACATTTTAGTGGCCACCGAGTGCTTCACTGATTGTTGTGATTCTCACCTGTGATTTTGGAATACTTACTTTCAGTGTGTTGATTTATTCACAAGATGTCTGAAGAAATCAACGAAAACGGAACCGGGAACGGACAGGATGTTCCTGAAATTGAGCTTATCATCAAGGTAAAATTTCCCAGTTACAACTTTGACACTATCACTGTTGCCTTCAATTCACTTAATGAACATCGTTCATAACATAACCTATCTCCTATTAAATTTTCACCGCTCACTCCAACTTTTGTTCTGCCTATATCTACCCGTTTTTGACTATAGAGTACAATCAAGTCGTCATGCACCTGAGTGATAATGAAATCAACCCATGAATGGGCCACTCTGAGCCCCTTGTTTGCTGGAAAGTGCGAACCAAGTGTGGACACTTTTTATCATGGCGCGGCTCATGGGAGAATCGCTGGCTGTGAGTGGTTTTTTGGGAATCATTATTTCAAGTTTATTATTAATTCGACGAATTTTGGCTAATTATGTTGACGAATGATCAAACAAATTTAACTAAGTACAAAACTCCCGGCTTTCACTAAATAGATTTTATACCTGTGTACAGTAAGCGGAGTTGGAGCTGGGACCCTGCGCATACAGCATCTCTAGTTGCGGCGCACTAATCTCAGGAGCGCTGGACAAGCTGATCTCAAAAAGTAACTTCATCGGCGCTCCAGTACATTACGACTAATTGTGCTCACATGTTATTCACCTCAAAACTTTTTTGAAGTGCGATCTCTGGTGCCTTTCATGAGGTGTAACTAGGCCTCAATGCAAGGCTTAAGATACATTTAGGAAATGGGGCTTCATAGCTGCCAGGGAGTAGAATCTTCCAGATGGTAGGATGAGTTGTCAAGTATTAAGCAGAATCAGCTTATCAACCCATCATCTAAGCTTTGCAATGTTGCATACTTACTTTTGGAGGAGTTACGTTTATTTATTTATCCCAAGTTGATTACAAAATACAAATAAAAAAAATTCACTGCTACTCAATACACTTGCCGAAAGCTCAGTCTGCTTCCTGGCATTCTTTTTCTAAGTGCATGGTAAATTTTTAAACATCATTTTTTGAAAACTTTAATGATTTTTACTCTGTGTAAAGAGTACTCTGTGAAAATTTCAAGGTATACCCAATGTTGGTTCAGACTCTTTTTAATCATAAAATAGGAGGGGGAATTTTAAAACACTGCAACCCGAGTACGCATCTTGCAGTTTCATCATCGTAATGTATTCGCTCTTCATTCGTGCTTGGCATTGGCGGATCCAGCAATTTGGCAATACTGGATTTTCTCCACTTAACCTATGGGAAAGTATCAACTCTTAGGGAGGGGGATAGGTGCTCTGATATGAACCGATTATTTAAGTATAGGTTTTGGAGGAAATTTGGTGTTTCCAAATTGCTGGATCCATCTCTGCATGGAGAGTTTGACAAGATTCAGAGGTGAGATCTCTGAAGAGAATTCCTCGCATTATGGTCTCGGGTTGGTTCAAATAACTTTTCACTTTCCTCAGACTTTTTGTCCTTACCGCAGACCCTGAAAGAGAATCTAAATTCAAGGAAAAGAAAGTTTTAAATTTTCATAAGAAGTTTTTACTTTCAGAACTCACTAAGACTACTTTTTTCATGACAATTATTTAAAAAACATCGCCGTCGAAAGTTGAGTTCACCTCTATAGATTTTGCATTTTTTGTATGGTCCACTTTAAGGACTAAAACAATTAATTTTGTTTTTACTGTACCTAGACCTTACAAAAGTGCTAAATCTTTGGAAAACTCAACTTCTGACGGCGATTTTCTTTTAATATCATGAATTTACAGAAGCTTAGTGAGCTCTATCAATAAAGGAAGGTCATGAACGACATTTGAAACTTTATTTTCCTTAAACATAGGTTCTCTTCCAGGTTCTAAGTAGGGTAAAGACACAAAGTCTTTGAAAAATGAAAAGTTATTTGAACCAACCCTCTAAATTTTAAGAGCTTTTTTCGAGCTTGGAATGTCGTCTCAGAGAAAACCAGTGGCGACATCGTGTTTCCAGCGAAAGTTCACGTAGACAGAAGCATTTAAATCGCAAATCCTCGTGGCATGCAAGAGCAACACTGCGACACTTGGGGCAGTTTTCCTCGGAGGTCATTCAAAGTTTAGTACTCGAGTCCTTCACGAAGAACCGTCGCCCCAGCTCGGAGTTCTTTGCGTAGAGACGGAATGCAACCATGCATTGTTGTGACGCAATGCGCCCGACGCACAGTGCATCGAGTCAATCGGAAAGGTCGGGCATTGAATTTTTGACGAGAACTGCAAATTTTGATGTTCATTTCGTCTTATTTTAAGTATCAAGGAGTGCTCTGAGAAGAAAATTTCCCCAATAAACCATTGGAACTACTTTTAGAACCTCTAGGTTTTGTATTAACGGAGTTACAAGCTTTTAAATTTACCAAATTTTGTCCGAACTCTCCTATTGGCTGGATCTAGCGTGTGGCGTTGAGGCCGACAGTGATCAAAAGCTATCGGCCGCCGCCGTCGGAGATAATCTCCGCGAAGATGAGAGCAAATAGAAACCCACTCAAACGTGAAACTATTTGTCCCGGTCGCCCGCGCTGGGCGCTTCGTCTCGCGGCCACTCGCACGCCGAAGATCCGACCCCCCCCCCCCCCCCCTTCGGGTGCGCTACAATTATCACAATTAACAACTCCACCCAAAACCCGCACGATGCAGTGTGTCCAGCTCTGCTGTGCTGAGGAACAACGCCGTATGACCATTCGAGAGTTGCCAAATTCCCTTCGATAAAATGCTTATTGTATTCGAGGCAAGTTATGAATATATTATCTTGAAATTTTTATGAGCGTTATGTGAAATTGCGAACAAAATTACATGAAAAACTGGAAGAAAAATAGTCATATGTTCACCGGGAAATTCGTGATTTATCGAAGGATATTTGGCAACGCTTGAAGGTTCATACGGCGTTTTTCCCTAGCACGGCAGAGCTGCTGTTCCCGGTAGGTACTGTAATAAGAAAGTTTGGGTCCCCTGTTTTTTCCTGTTAATGATACCTCCGGGTCACTGGGTCCGCACGGAATTCCGGAACGAGGCAAAGGGGCGTCGGGTGTGGTGTGACGTCACGCACTTTTGGGGGGTTGAACCCCGCCCCTTCCTCCTCCTCCTCCTCCTCCTCCTCCTCCTCTCAGTGACGCGGCTAGATTTTTTTCGAGGATTCCTCATGCGGAAGAGGGTCTCAAGGAAGGTTTGCCTTGGCTGAGGCAGCGTGTACGCACTGAAAAAACCGGCTGTATGGACATACCGCTCGTTCCGGGCGCAGAGGCCGAAAGTTCCGGGTGTTGGAGCTGTAGCTTCGACCGCCCCGGATGCTACACCCGGAACTCTTGGCCTCTGAGCCCGTATCGCGGACGGTTTGTCTTCATGGCCCGTAAGTGCGGCTTCCACAGCTGGAGTTTTTTTTACGGTGCGGAATATTGACACCTCTGTTTTAGCCTGTTTTAGTCTTTCCATGGAGCTCCCCTGGCTCAATCTTAAGAAACCCGATTAAGAGGAATTTATATTACGGGCGTCTAAAAATGAATGATGATCTCACTAAAAGGGTAATTTACGGCAAAAATACCCATCAAAGTTTGATCAGAACTCCGTTTAGAGATTGGATGTAAGAAAATTTCTTTCACGTCCAGAACTATCGCTATCTCGTTTGCTTACATTGGGCTAGAGGAGGCGAGGGACAACCATGAAAGTCTAGCACTTAGCCACCAATAAGATAGCGTCACAGGGTGTCTACAAGTCCGGAATTTCCGGAAATAGCACTAATTACTAAGGGCGGTCCGGAAGTACTGAAAAAGTGCGGAAATTCCGCAAAAAGGTCCGGACTTTGTTTTAATTTTTTGTCTTTTTTGTCGCAATTTCAAATGTTTGACATTTTTCTAATTGCGTGAAACAGAGTTATTGAAAAAGTGCGGAATTTTTCTGTTGTAATAGGTACTGAATTTCTCGAGAAAGTACTGGAAAAGTACCGTAAATGTACTTATTTTTGACCACCTGTTTTAGTAGACACCCTGTAACGGCACAATTTCTGGAGTAGAAGAATTGAGATGACAATACTCTCCCGCGTAAATAGTTTCTCTAGGCTCAGGCGCATTGATGCATTCGTGGATTCGATCCATAGGTTTAAGAAAACACTATTGGGAATCATTTCGAAAATTCATATCGAATTGTCAGTCTCTAGATCAATCAATCAATGAAAAACGTTCGTTTCAAAAATCATCTCTCAAAACTTTCAAGAAGTGTATCAATGCAAGCCATGAGTATTGTTTTTAAGCGATCATTTACCTTTATCGACAGCTATGTGGAAATTGGTTTAAAATTATTGGAACGATTTGTACTTACTCTTGTACTTATTTTAAAGTTTTAGAGATTGGTTAATGTAAGACCATTTCTTAAAGATTGGTCTAGTTACAGATATTTCGGTATTTCAAAAAAAGATCTTGAGTGTTATCAAAGAGTACTCTTAAAAAGTCATTAGTTAAAATCTGCTATTTTCGGAAGTGGTGGCGCTACGCTGAATCAAAAGTTGCAGATCTACGTGAAGGTGAAAGAGTCATGATAATCGCGAAAAATGGGATTCGAGGGATTTGAGCATGAGGTTGTCTTGTTGACTTTATCTGAGTATTTCCCAGTTCTTCAACTTTCCTTATTCTCTCCTCCTTACATTCCCGATTGATTATCGTGCATCACAATGCATATAGGATATTCAGAGGTAGAAACCGCAGAGTGTGCGAAGATCTGCTGACATAATAACTTGCAAAATCATGCCAAAAACGCATGCTAATACGTTCCGTGACCTCAAAACTTGCATTCGATCCACTGAATACGCTCAACATTAGAGCCGGTTAAATGTCAACGATAAGTGATCTGCTGACCATTCTATTTGTGACAGCCACCGTACTAGAATATCCTTCACGGCCGGAGTATCCAAGGGGTGGCGATAATAACGCCATCTATGGATCGCGGCGAAAAAGGAAACCATATTTCTTGTTGGCGCAGTTGAACTGCAAAAATTCTACGGAATCAGGAATAGCCTACCAGCGATTCTGAGATGAAAATCTTGTATAATTCCTCATGTTGTTACA